ACTCTTTCCTGACATGGCAGGGGGTCGGACTTGATGATCTGCTCAGGTCCCTTCCGACCCTACAAACTATAAAACACATGACAGGCAAGGGTTATGGGGTTTTTGGGGTGGTTTTTTAAATTTCTTTTCTTGGTAATGTATCAGTTGGATAGTTGGGAGGGAGGTTTGACAAGCTTTTTGGACATAAAACTCCTCAGGTCTTGGGGAGAAGCAGACACAGCTTGACCTAAATAATAGGGGGAAAATATGTATTACTCAATAAGCTAACATCTGAAGTAGGTTGTAAAAGGTGGAAAATGTTTATTACCTGTTGAGTGCAGGTAAAAGGAGAAAATAGGGTAATAGTGGGTGCATCTACATATCGCCTTACAGCAATGAAGTGATGTGCTACATTGCCGTACAGTGTGCTGTTGTAACATAGCAATCACTTGGGTCTACACATGATTGCCAGCTACAACACTGTAGTGGTGAAATCTAACTGCACGCTGTGCGCACGGTGCAGTAATCACCCATAAGGAAGTACTGAAGGATGGCTCCATAGACACATCACCATACAGAGATGTGTAGACATGCCCAGTGACTCTTCCTTTGTGTATGAATGATGTAGTTGTGATGGTCCAGAAATTATGCAAGTATTTCTTAGAGTGATACCTTTTATTCTACCAACTGTGTAGCTGGAATAAAGTTAGACAAGCTTTTGAGTGCAAGACATTCTTCCTTGAGTGTCTCGGACCTGAGATGCTAAAAAAACTTTGCCTTCACTAAAATAGTAACAATGAAAATAATTCCTCTAAGTACTCTCTGCTTTTGTCATGTAAACTACCTAAATTAAGCTAGGATGCATTTCACAGCATGATGTACAGTCATCTTGCTTTTTGTTGATCATCATTGGTGCCCTAGGGACCAATGAAAGCTTGAAAAAAGCCTATCTATCCAAAATCAAATACCCTAAGAAAACAGATTTAAGTCTATTTTAATGATAATTTTAATATTGAAATACAAATAGTAGATGAATGATAAGATAATATAGGTTAGGCATATCAAACCACTGATTAAAAGCAGTTAGCTGTTCATCAAAACCATCTTTTAAAATAGTTGGAATAAAAAAAGATCAGTTTAAAATATAATAAATTCTCAGACACTAACAGGTGGACAGTCCATCAGGGGAAAGAACATCCTACATAGGTTTCAAAGAACCAAGCATCTTAGTTCACCTGCAAATGGGCAGTTCAGCAAGAACCAGAGTGAAAGGCTTGAAGAGCAATTTTTTTTGAGGTGGACTTAGATTTTTGTGCTCAGTTCTGGCCCCAACTTCAAAAGCCTGCTAAATAGTGCTAGCACATATAGAAATTTGCCTAATAGGCTATTTCATCATTGACATTAATTTAAATTCTGTCTGATATGGCCATTGGACATACCCTACTTGTTGTCAAGGAATGCATCTATTTCTGTCCCAGGTATAAAATTATTTTTGTGGTCAGACTAGATCAAACTGGTACCAGACCACTAAGCTCTATGTGAGCCAGAGCTGACCTACCTTGTCTAGTTGATCTTTCACCTACATTTAAAAATTTTTTTTTGCCTGTCAAATTTCCTTGCCTGTTACCACTTCCTTTGCTTCTGCTTCTCTTAATTGTGTTTCTTGGTCTACCTTGATTTGACTTATGCTAATTATAAAGCAGCCTAAACAGACTGAAGGTCTTTATTTTGTTGTATAGCCATACAACTTGTGGAAGTACAAATGCAGGTTCCTCCATAAGTAGGGCCTATATGAAGTTTACATGGTAATATGGATTGAAACTCTTCCTTTCTAATTCACTGTTGATGGAATTTCACTAACTGGAATTTACTACATGTGGATTCTACTTTACATACATGAGTAAACCTCTCTGTGTCACATCTGGCACTATGCTAAATGTTCTGGGGGGCCAGAAACAAGACTTGTTGAAGTCAGTTGAAAGACTCCCATCTCCAGCAGGCTGTAGAGATATAACCCAAGGAAACATAACCCCCCCTGTGATTATGCTTAAATTTAGGCAGGAAGATTTCTAGCATTGTTACCTTAAACTGAGCAAGGTTCTGTAGCTGAGCAAGGTTGACTATTACAAAGCCAATAGAGTCCATGAAAAAAGCAGAGAGCTATCTGTTATTCCCAAATGTTATCTTATTTCATAAATTTCATAGACATTTGGGCTGGAAGGGACCTCGGAAGATCATTGAGTCCAGCCCCCTGCCCAAAGGTCAGGAAGTCAGCTGGGGTCATAGGATCCCAAAGAATTGTAAATGTGATATTGCTAGGTTTAACACCTAAAACACCTGCCATTGAATAATTAGTGTGGGCTTCAAAGATTGAGAGGAAAAATGATTTTCATAGTGTTGTTTGTGATGCCTCACACTTTTTATAAGGGTGTTTCAGAAACTACTGGTAAAATGGCTGCACATGCCATATGTCTGTGAGAAAGTGGGAAACTGCACAGCAGTGGGAGCACTGATGGTGGCATTATCTACTGCACCCATTGTTTACAAGTATGTGAAGAAGTGACATGGTCCACTATGTGATCATTGCACATGAAATGGTTTTATTTCAAAATTGCTGTTAGTTTCTTAAACATCCTGTTATATAAAAGTGAAATACAGTATTGACCACTTCATTTAAATTAATCCTAAAGTGAAACTTTTCAATTTATGTAACTGCTTATTCTGATGGGAAAGACTGAATAGAGATGGTGATTTGTCATTCTGTGTGTTCAAACAACACAATATCCTCATCTGTATTTGTCAGAGAATTGGATTGAAATGTCACTTTATCTCTATCCAGTGGAAGATGTGAAATTGGACTTGTCAGATCACACTCACTTACTGTAAAAAAAAAAAAAAAAAAAAAAAGCA